CTTAGACATACTAAACAACACATTACTGAGTGGTGAAAGGGTTAAAGAAAAAATAAAAGAGTAATAAAAAGCACCCTAGATGAAATTGAAAACATAATACAACAAAACCTCTGGGACACATTAAAAGTTGTCCTAAGAGGGAAATTTATAGCTCTAATTGCCTACTTTTAAATAATCAGAAAGAATACAAATAAATAGCTTAATGATGCAATTAAAGAGTTTTGAAAAACAAGTACAAACAAATCCATTATATGAGGAGAAATAATATAAATGGGAGCAGAAATAACAACAAAACAGTGTAAGTAATGAATGAATTTAATAATGTGTTGAGTAGGACATGGAACTGGGGACCTCTCAGCAGCATTGACTGAAGTGTATAAGTTGCTGTCAGCTATACATGGTCCATGGCTCTGCTGCTCCCAATTTGAGATACTCCATCCATAATCCAGCAACCTAACCTTGAGAAAGGTACCCATATGTATAAAGACTCATGTGCCACAACTTCATTGCACATGACAAACAACAAAGAGCTGTCAGTCCTCTGTGATCATAGGGGCTCACAAAATTCCAACTATAAGAAATATTCTAAATATAAATATACTGATCTGTAGGGGACAGTGTAAGCCACGCCTGCTAGAAGCTGGCTAGAGTTGGGCGTGGTCAGGGTGAGGTCAGGATGATGCATGATAGGGTTTTAAGGGGCTGCGGTTTTAAGGGGCTGTGAAAGCCCCTTGAAATCCTATCTCACGTCATCCTGACCTCACCCTGACCACGCCCTGACAGGCGTGGTCAGACACACCTGTAGCCAGCTTCTAGCAGGCATGGCTTACACTGTCCCCTACACTGATCTAGTTATTTCCCAGAACTTTTGACAAGATAAAAAACTGGTTTTGAGTATATTATATAATTGAAATTTTGAAAAATAAAGGAAAATCATGCTATGTATTTCTTTAAGTGTCAAAATTAGAACTATTGATGGGAAAAAAATATATATATATATAATTTTAAGGTTGCTGTTAATTCTTGGGAGGAAAGAAAATAAAGACAGAGTTTTCAAATATTTACAATCATTTCTTAGAATAAGCAAACAAATCTGAGAGAAATCTATAACATGGCAATATCTGGATGGATTGGTGTCACATGACTTTAATCTTATCGGCGATTCAGGAGGCCGAGGCAGGTAGATCTCTGTGAGTTCAAGGTCATCCTAGTCTACAGAGTGAGTTCCAGGACAGCCAGGGCTATACAGAGCTACTTTCTATTGAAAAAGCAAAAACAAACAAACAAGAAAACAAACAAAAAAATAAAAAAAAGAATAAATAAATGACAACCAAAAAAGAAAAAAAAACTATTTAAAAAATGGCAGCATCTGTTAAATCTAGAATTAGCTGTGTTTGGGTATTTATATATTGCCTTAACTTTCTTTAAAATATAATTAGTAGTCGGGTGTTGGTGGCGCACGCCTTTAATCCTGGCACTCGAGAGGCAGAGGCAGGCAGATCTCTGTGAGTTCGAGGCCAGCCTAGTCTCCAGAGAGAGTGCCAGGATAGGCTCCAAAGCTACACAGAGAAACCCTGTCTCGAAAACCAATAAATAAATAAATAAATAAATAAATAAATAAATAAAATTAGTAATTCTGTACACTTGATATAGAATCTCCGTATATGAATGCTTTGTGAAGACATGAGAATGATAAATTATGTTAAAAAGTAAAGGACATAATCAATGGGCGTGAAAAAGTATTAAAGATCATAATTGGAAGAAAGGCATCTGTTTATGTATTGCCCTCACAAGCCTTCCAACAAGCTCTTTGCCAGGTTATCAAAGACTCTGGGCAAGTAGATCCCAGGACTGAGATTATGCTGGTATTTATCAATTTAGGAGGGGAAGTGATAACTAGAGACCTCCTGCAACATCCATGTGGAACCAGTTTTTGTGTTTAAAAACTTCATGAGGGCAACAAGTAGGTTTGTGTGTTTTTGCAGCCATAGCTGATGCACTGTCCATTTAATTGAATATTTCTCCCTCCCCACAATCAACTTCATGAACCTGCCACCTAAAAGGATGCAAGGCCCTTACCAGCAAAACCTCATGATTCATTTGATGTATTGCCATTGCCTTGTATTTCCATGCTTTACTAAACTGCTCCTGTGTGACCAGTCCTGGCCCTAGAGAAACAGTGTAGCAATGGTCCCTGTTATGGGGTGTAGTATCTGTCTTCTCACTGGCCACCATGAACCTCTTTACAGGACTTGCCAGATCCCTTTAGGAATTCTATCTCTCTTTCTAGTTTTGGTTTGATGACCCTTTACAAATGGCACCAAAGAGTTTCTGGAAAAAGTGTCCCCAGCCACCATGCTCTGTGAAATTTTGAGTGGTTAAGGCTGCATTAATGTTATTGATGTCTGGGTACCATCAAGATTCCAGTCAGTGAAATGGCAATGATAAAAGCACAATGAGGGAGGAAGTTATGGTGCCTCTAATTGTATATCCTGATTATATTTACATAGTACACACACATACACACACATACATACACGCATACACACACATTTACATTTATATACACATTTACACACACACACACACACACACACACACACACACACACATCCCTAGTGTTCCAGTGTTCATCAATATCAAAGACTTCTGACTAATTCAGGCTGATGATTCAGCGCTCAAGTTTTATATTTAAAAATATATTAAAGAAAAAATAACACATAATCTCTGTCATCTCTACATCACTGACAATAATGATTAACTCATTTATCCACTTTTGAAAGACACATTTTGGGAAAAATTCAGAACTGCACACCAGGGTCTATGGTTGACCCTCTCAAATCTCCCAGCCTCACGGTATCTCCTTATTCTGTAGATGCCTTAATAAATCTCAGGGCTACAGTTCCATGAAAGATTTTTCCCTGTTTGTCATGAATTAAGATTGGTGCTTACACTGTATCCCTTTAAAAGACTCCTGATTCTTGGATATGTAGAATGTTCTGTGGTGTGAAGAGCATGACGGGAATGGAGGGGGCAGCTATTCAGGAAGTTTGTCTATCCATTTCATGCATCCTAAAACTTGTGGTTAAAAAGAATCAAAGGCATTCAGGGCAGTAACATCCTCAGTCATGGCTCCTGGGAATATAAACCAGTCGTCTCCAGTGGAAAATATCAAGCTCTCATGAGGGAAACAATTGGAAAAAACAGACATAACAAGGGGCATGCTTAGCTTTGTAATGTCATCCAAAGACCGCAAAGAATCTGTGATAGGAAGATGTTCAAATTCCTCTTTGATCTCCTTAAACTGAGTAATCACTACAGTATTACAAGTAAGGACTCAAAAAGTCCAGAGAGTACAGAAGTCATCTTGGTGGACACCTGGCTCTCTGCTTTTTAAAGATCCTATTAACCCTTTACAGCCACATTTTCTTTATTTGTATACTGGAAATAATACCGAGAAATTTTCCTAAGGTTTTTGAATGAAATGATATGGACCTTATCTCCTCCTTCCCTAACATCAATACAAAGGGACCCACATTTCACCAGTAGACTTGGAGTCAACTGGAAGAAGGATAACATCTCAATTATCTTGAGGCTGAGACCCTGGAAATAAAGAAAATTCATGGATCAAATGGAAAGTATAGATTTAAAAAATCAAAGAAAGACTTCAAGAAATGAAAACACTAGAAAATGCTGGTTCCTCTTGACCCTGCCACCTGTGGTGGGTGAGGGAGCTGACCTTCCTACCAGCTGCAGCACTCAGGAAAGTGGACCCTGCACATTGTGTGGGCAGCAGAGTAGAGTTGACTCTGTTGGCAGAAGTCTGGGTGAGGCAGCCCAAATGCTGTGAGCATGGGAAGGCTATTGACATTGCTCATCTGTCTTGTGTCAGCATGGGTGGGATGGGGGGAAGATTTCCCGCCCCCATCAATACCCAAGGCAGGTGGAAGAGCTGGCCCTGAAGTCTAAAGAGTGTGAGCGCTGTCCCTACCCTTCACCAGCTGCAGTTTTCAGGAAAGTGGCCACTGCACCTCACCTGGCCTTGATTGGTGTTGGTGTGAGAGAACTGACCCTGAGGGTATGAAAGCCTGGCCCCACCCCTTGTTCATCATTATAAGGGGTGAACTAGCTGGGGCAATGCTGGAGTGCTTACCTTGGTGGTAAAGACAGGGGAGAGCTGGCAGGCTGACTAACCTTGCAACTACCAGATCCAGAATCAGGGTTATGTGTCATTCCACACTAACATCCACTCTGTCTGTGATCTGCTGGAGCATGGTGGAGGACTGGTTCAGTCCTATGGACCCAGGGCTACAGGATCTCCATAACACAGGGCACCAATGGGATATCCAGGAAGAGTCCCAGTGAGGGCCTGGTGTCTATGGTGTAGATCAGGAGTCTCAGTCTAGACCAAAGATTCTTTGTGATGAATGCCTGCATGTAAAAATGTATGGATAAAGAGGTTTACTGCATGACTCACTGTGTCATACTGTGACTTCCATGGCAAAATTTTCCCCTTCTTCCTTTTATCTCTTAAATTTCATTTTGTTTTATTTTTGGTGGGGGAGGGAGGTGAGCAGGATCAGGATACATGATGCAAAAGACGCAAAGAATAAATAAAAAGAAAGATTAAACAAGAGAAAGAAAAATGCTGCTTCCTGGTTCTGTAGGACACTAAAAAGTCCCAAGAGGTCTCCAGCATCTCTGGCCTTCTGACGTGACTAACATGAAGCAATAAACTTAAGTGAGTCAGCAATCCAGCTCTGAAGATGAGCAATTGCACATGCCCTGGCTGAACGCTGCAAGGCAGGCTGCCTCACCTCTGTAAGCTCTCCGCTTCTCTACTGAGGGTTCAGTGATATCCCCTTCATGGACTGAGAATGGTGTTAAATGTTTGGTTTTCAACTGTGTTCCTGGGTATCCTTTCTTAATATGTACTGGAGCAGAACTGGACCGAACAAAATGGCACTAACCCATATTTTTGGCATGTCTTTCAGATACTATACACACAGATTATTGGATCTGAATGCTCACAGCTCTGCTCAGTCAGTCCTTCCTCATGCAATCCTCCCTCTGTCCTGAAGTATGTGGGATCCCTTGTGAGGGCTCTTGAGCAAGCCAGCCTACGTGCAGTGTGATGACCTGAAAACCCAGTCATCTCCAGCCTCTGCGATGGGAGCATGAGTCACCTAGCTCTTAGAATGTTGCATTTCCCAAGGTGAGTGCTGCTTCTTTGCATAGACAATGAGGTCTTAGCTATATATGATCATGTCTTCTTCAAAGTTCTTAGTCACATATTAGTCAGACCACCTCCAAATCAGAGGGTGTACTTCTCTCCAGTTTTGTATGGAACTTATAGAACTTCCTCAAAGTGGTTTTGTCACAGCCCCTCTATCTCTGTAGCCTTGACAAGCTCAAGACTAAGTAGATGGATATTGCCTCTACCTTGAGAGATTACCTTCCCTGGAAGGCCCTTGCCTATTATCTGAAACTCTCTCATATTTTTTTCCAGTATAAACTGAGGCAGGGGACTGTCAGGAAGCATTATTTCAGGGAAGTTTAAGTTTTCATGAAAACCATTTAGGAAGACATATAGAATTTCCACATGGCCCCTCCTCTAGTTTCTCCTGTCATTAGCATGTGTTATAATTGATACATCAATATCTGTGCATTATAGTTAACTAAAACCCATTCTGTAATTTATACTAGGGGTCTAGCTGTCCTGGAACTTGCTTTGTAGACCAGGCTGGCCTCAAACTCACAGAGATCTATCTGCCTCTGCCTCCCAAGTGCTGGAATTTAAGGCATGTGCCACAACACCTAGCTTTATGATTGCATTGCCATGTATATACCATTGAAGTATCACACTGAACTATTTCACTGAGCTAAACTCTGCATTTCACCTTTCTTCCTCAATCCCACATCCTAATCTTTCAACCACTAATTTTCTCACTCTCTGTACTCTTTCTTCTTTCTGAAATTCATAGTTGGAAGAGTACAGATGAAGTCTATTCATATTGGCTTCTTTCACCTAGCAACATAGCTTTTAATTTCTTTTATCATTTTTTTTTGTTTGGGAGTGCTTTGTCTTCGTATATATCTGTTAATGTGTTGCCCATCCTGATGCCCATGGAGGCCAGAAGTGGGTATCAGATCCCTAGAACTGGAACAACTTATGGTTGTTCTACCATAAGCTGCTGGGAATTGAACCCAGATCTTCTGTGAGAGCAGCCAGTGCTCTTAAGTAGCTGATCCATCTCTCTAGCCCTGCAATGTAGTCTTTTAGTTGCCTGGCAACTTAATTCTTTTCATGATGGATAATACTACTCACTGTAAAGATGTATCACATTTTCCCATTTACTGCTGATGATATGTTGGTTGTTACCACTTTCAGACAATTGTTAATAAAACTAATGCTTTTGTGTGTACGTAAGCTTTGCTAGAGACTTTTCTGTTTTTACTAAGTTCTTCACATAGATTATAGGTCTTATGGTTCTACTTGTTTTTCCTCAACCCCCTCCAATAGAGTTGTTTTATTTTAGAGCCTTTCTCATTTGAAATATGGGTGGTTAAATAGAAGACTTGTTTTTCAGGCTGCAGCTTACTCATGAACCAAGGTGGGATAATGCCAAAGATGGGAGTATGTGTGAAGATGGTGGTTATGCCATAATAATCAGCCAATAATTATTCATCCTTATATCCTTAAGTGTTGTATTTACTAACACTTTCTTCTTCTCATATTGCTTAGAAATTCAGAAAAACAGACTATCAGCTATGCTTGGATTTTTGAACATTTAAATTCAGTATCTAAATATTTCCAACACCACTCCTCATCCTCAGTCTTGTTAAATCACACACAAATTCTGGAGCTATGATTAAAAGAGAAACTAGCTTCATTCCAGGTGAGTCTTTACTATCTGAAAATAAGATTACAGCTGTTTGCATTGTGGGAGGACCTTGTTGATGGACCAGTTGAGGAATGGCTACTGAGAAGAAAAAATTAGAAGGTATCCCTAAAGAGGGGAGATGCAAGGGGAATGATAAATGGTTCCATACAGAGGAATATGGGTGCATCATAGATGCGCAGTTTCAATTATTATTTAAATAAGTGGTTTTGTTACGTTTATAACAACCTGAGGTTTCGATGAGTTGGCTCATTTATGGGGAGCTTCAAGTGTCATGGGTCAGTGGGGACACTGGCAGAGTGTCCTGGTCTCTTAATTCATAACTTTTGGGAGCTTTGTCTACATAGTAATACCGTAAATGGCAGAAAAGCAAAATCATTGGTCTCTGACCCAAATGTTTTTCCAAATAAAAGCAAAATGTTTTAAAATAGGTTTTCTGAGTGACTTGGCCAGCAGTAGTAAAAGGGGACTTTTGTAGATAGACTCCCAGGATTGAAAATCAAGAAGACAGTATGGCAAAGCAAGCATGACATGACTTTTATTTCAAGTCTTCCATTGTCATTCTACTCTGTGGACAAGGCTATCATTATCTGACTCTTGGCTACATATGGTTGTCTTGTTACAAAGTCTCAATATTTCAAATGCCTAGAATTTAAAGTAATCACCTTTAGAATTTAGAATCATTCACCTAGTGTCTCCAAGGCCCCTTTCCTTTATGCTCTCTGGACAACTGTCCCAGTCCCTAGTGAGTGAACAAGATGCTTGCCAAGATATGAACCCACTACCTTGAACACCCCTATCATCACTGCAAGCCTTGCCACCTGCAACCTGTCTGTCCATGTATTGTCATCACTTTACTCTCCTGGGGGACAGGAATAGCCAATTCATTATGGCCAGTGCACAATACCTTGTAACAGAAAGTCACACTTAAAATTTGACTAAAAGAATCTTGAAACACAAGTTATACAGTGAAGTTAAGAAGAAAGAGTTGAATATCACTGATTTTTACTTCACAGCACTAAAGACCATAGAATTTAACTTAGCTATAAAACCAGTGATATCCAAAACAGATAAAGATACACACACAAAAAAGAAAACTAGATTCATATCCACTATGAACATAGATGGAAAAACTCTTAATAAAATACTTGCAAACTGAATCAATAAAATACTTGCAAGGGATATCAAGTATATCATATATCTTGATCAAATTGGTTTTATTACAGGGATTCAGGAATGGTTCAGCACATAAATAAATAAGCACAATTCATCACATAGGTAGACTAAACACAAAAATCACATGATCATCTCAATAGGTGCAGCAAAGCCCTCAATAAAATCCAAAATCCCTTCAAGGTACTTTATGGAAAGGCTAAAGATGAGAGAACCATTCTTCACCTATTAAAGTATATATATCAGAAACATGTAGCCAGCATCATAGTAAATGGAGAAAAGCCCAAAGCATTCTCAGTAAATTAGGAACTAGACAAGAGTGTCCCCTCTCTCTATTCGTATTCAATACAGTGATTGTGGTCTTACCTAGAGCAATGAGACAATAGGAAGAAATAGAATGGTTATAAATAGGAAAAGAAGTAAAAATTATACTCTTGGCAACTGATATAATTGTAAACATAGGCTATCCTAAGGACTTCATCGAAAACCTCTTATAACTGATAAATATCTTCAGCAAAGTGGAAACTGCAAAATTAGCATATAAAGTAAATGGTTATGTACCAATAACAAAACTAATGAAAAAGAAATCAGTGAAATAATCCTATTTATAGTACCACCAAACATGAATATAACTGGGAATGAAGCTAACCAAGAAAATGAAAGAACTGTATAATGAAAACTTTTAAACATTACAGAGATAAATTGAAGAGGACATTAGATTATGGAAAAACATCCCATGTTCATGGTTTGTAAGAAACAATATTCTGAATATATCCATCCTACCAAGATCCAACTATAGATTCAGTGTCATCCTAATAAAAATCCCAAAGCCATTCTGTACACAAATAGAAAAAGTATCTCAAAATCTGTATATAAGCACATACTATAAAGGATATCCAAAGTCATCCTGAGGAAAAAAATACTGTGAATGGTGTTGCCACACCTGATTTCAAGTCATACTAAAAAGAGAAGAGATATAGTAATAAGAAGAGCATGGTTTTGGCACAAACACAGACAGACAGACATGCACGCGTGTGTGCACGCACACACACACACACCAAAAATCCAAGTTATTGAGTTTGTACTTGGTTGCTCATCAGAATTTGATGGTAAGAAGATATTGCTGAAAACATCATATATTTTGGTCACAGGACATGAAGAAAATAAGTTGGTACTGGTGCGAAAGTTTACTCCCTTCTAGCTAGCTTTTAGAGCACCCAAAGGTGTCATTCGGGCTTTTGGGAGAGCAAAGTCATCAATAGTCTTTTCCATCTGTGAACCTTGTGAGCCTCAGTAATGATACAAGACAGGCCCATGGCTTAATAGTGGTGCAAATGCTGTGGGAGTTACCATTTGTTTTCTGAATGGATTTAAGGCCCACTCCTTAAATGATGAAATTCGTGCTTGCTACTGTAAATCTAACCAAAATCCTAAGACTAAGGAGTCCTCAGGCCCTAAGGGGAAAACTATTAATATTTCTTTACTAACTTAGCATATTACCAAACTGATCTTTAAATACTTGTTAATATACCTCATCAGAAAAATCTTCTTTTCCCAGTGGATGCCAGTTAATATAATGATTCATAACTGGTGAAGATACAGAGAATTTCTTCAGAGTACACTCTTCTAAATGGGACTTCTGTGTTACCGTCTCTTACCCCAAGGCTCAGGGAACATCATGTAAGAGGGATCAGAGAGATTGTGTGAGTCAGAAGTCAGAAAAGATTGCTATAAAACAATGTGTTGGGTCAAGCCAGAGCTGTTGCATTCTTGAACTCAAAGCACTCCTGTACCAGAACAGGACCTGACCGAGATCAAGCCAGCCAACATTCCATGTGGATGGGGTAGCATAAAAGGCCCCATGCCTTGGAGAGGAGCTATTGGCAGTTGATGCTTCCTTGGAGAGGAAGTGTCAGTCTGGTACTTTTATCCCTGACACCTCATTTTCCAATTTTATTGGTAAGGAATGTAGTGGCAAGAAAAGGAAACCACTGTGAAGGTAAGACTACTAAGGATGATAAAATAGAAAGTTGAAAGAACCCTGAACTTTAATATATGCTGTGGGGTGCACTACAATTTAAATGGGTCATTATATGAAAAAAGTAAGTGGACTAACTATGGTTAGTAGATGGTTTTTGCT